AATAAGCATTGTGCTATGGTTAGAGTGAGTGCCATAGTGGGTGTGAGATGAAGAGCGGGGGCAGGGGTGGGAGTGGGGAGAGGGCGTGAGGCTCAGGAAACAAAACAAAAATCTGTTTCTCTTTATTTATTTCTCTTTCTCTTTCTCTCTGTCTCTTCCTCTCTTCTCTCATGTTCTCTCTCATCCTCTCTTTTGCTCTTCTCTCCTCTCTTTCTCACTCCTTCTCTCCCTGCCCTCTCCTTCTCCCTTGCCTTCTCTTCTCGTCTCTTCTTCCTCTCTCTGTGTCTCTTTGTCTCTCTCAGTCTCTGTCTCTGTCCTCTCTGTCTCGGTCTGTCTCTCCTCTTCCCCTGGCCCATCTTCATTCCTCTCCTGTTCGAACCCACCCATACATCTTTCCATCTTTGTTTCTCTATTTCCTTCTCCCCATGCCCCCTCGAGGCTTCAGTCTGAAGCACGTCATTAGATGATTTTGAGCGGAGACCTCGAAGGTTCCTTGTAGATCTAGGAGTTGAGAAGTCTTCACTCGTCCCATGACACTGGAGGCAAGAGACTTCTCTGAGCATCACTGAGGCAGTCCCGGCTTCTGAAACAACTACTGAATGCACACTAAATCCCGTCGGTTAACCTTTCTCCCTTCTTATACAGAACCGGGACCTCGAGGGAGCCTGAAACTTGTCTGAGTTTATTTTTATACAGTGTAGTGAAACTATGTACACACTGAAAGGTTATACCGAAAGAAAGCGTACACGAATGAGAAGAACGACGGTCATGTAGCATCGAAACTAGCAGTATAGGAAATTATTGTCATATTAAAGCAAATTATCACATCCTTGCTAGTAGCCACTTGCCAGCGACAGAACGACGATGTTGCCCTGATGCATAATCAAAGCCCTGATCATAAATTTAATGCCACCAGCGAGCAGACGGGTGTAAAGCTTATGCATATGTTATATGCGGCATCAAATACATTAAGGGGTAGTTTCAATGTTCTTTATCTCTTCGTCTCTGGTGTGGTCGCTTTGTGTGACCCTCTCCTCTCTAAACTTTGGAGAAAGACACTCTATGAGACGGTTTCTTTTGTCTCTAAAGAAAGACACTTTCGGGATGATTACTAAGGATAAGGAGGGAGAAGGGCATTATATATATACATATATAATATACGTATGTATGTATATATGTATACTATATATGTATGTATACACACACACACACACACACACACACACACACACCTCCTCCAAATTCCCTTCTTTAACTGAAGAAATCCCGCAAGGATAAGAACCCCGCCCCCAGAGTTAAAGCACAGCTGTCTAGGTCTTCCTAATCCAGGCAGGTGCTGAAGAGGGGTGGCGAAGGGGACAGACACAGAGCTGAGGTGGCAAGGTAGCTGGGACTCGTGAGCTCCTCCAGGGTGAACTAGGCTGGCCCGCGCAGGAGCCCAAAGGTAGCAGGCCAGCCAGTCCATGCCTCGGCAGGGACCGCTGGCAGGTACAGCGCGTCCTGGAAAGAGAAAGCTTTATTGATTCTGAGGAAACTGTGCAAAACCTCTCGATTAGGCACGGCTGCAGGGCGTGGTCTGCAGCTGCACTCACTGTTGTGTGGGGGCCTGCGCATGGTGGGGAGTGGGGGGAGGGGGCTGCGCATGAGTCTGCCCCTGTGCTAACGTGTATTTGTATCTGTGGGACTGTGTGGACCTGTGTAGGGAAATATGAATGTCTTCGGGAACACGTGCGAGTGTAACTAGGTAGCTGCGGGTGATGTGAGTGTGTATTCCTGTATTTGTACATATGTGTGTAAGGAGGTGAAGGGGAATGGGTTTAGGTTCTCGGTTATACTGCTAGCTAAGAAAGTCCTTAATGCTGGCCCTCCCGGTCTCTCCTCTCTGGGAACTTTGCCCCGGAGGAAGCAGGCTCTCCCGTGGTGCCAATCGCTCCGGGTTGCCCAAAAGCCCCTGAGCCTTCCACAAGACTTTTGTGCTTTCGCCTTTCCTTGGGAGATCCTCATTCTCACTTTCCCCCACTCCCACCGCAGCTTCTTCTGCATCTGCTCGCTTTTAGGCTGTCGATGTAGATCGTCCTTATCTTCCCATCTCGCATTGCTCTGTGGAGCAGTGGGAAAGGGGAAATGGTAATCCCTACCTCTGGCCAGATTCATATCAGTACCATTGACCTTAAAAGACAGGCATCAGAGAAATTTCCCGTCTTGTCCCTTCGAAGTACGCTGCCCCATTTCACTTTACCTGCTACTCTCCGTCACAAGCTTCACCGTAGAAGCAGCGCTTTCTAAACCTAGGGCTCGTTAGTGCCTAGTCCTCCTAGAACCCCAAAGTGGCTGCTGGTTTATGAACTTTTTCTAGTCTTAAGAATTTAACTCCAAACCCAAGGACTTGTCTCCTAATCCCATAATTGTATCAACCTCCTGGTAATATAGCCAGTGATATCAACACATTATATAGAATACCGAGTCTTACTTATAAGATCTAATGTATCATAAGCTACACATACACATACCTCATAGTGCTGGAGGTTACCATTTGTTACATAATGCAAAGCGTTATGAAACAACATCTACGACCGTGCTAAGTTTGGGGACGTATAATCATTCCACCTATTAGGATCCAGCACTGTGCCTGGTGAGTAGTGGTCTATTAGTAAATGCTTGTAGATTGATTGCAGATAACCTGAGGAACCAGTACGGGAGTCAAATGTCTAAGTCATCCTAAAATCCTAGAGCAGTGCTGGTGGAAGGGATCTTGGAGGTCATCTAATCCAAACCCCGAGGCCCAGAGAAAGGAAGTGATTTGTCCAAGATCACACAGGCACTGCTGAGCAGAGACTACAACTTTCTTACTCAGTCCAGGGCCCTTTCCACAGTACCAGACAGCTTTCTCTGCTAGAAATGGTAATTAATGAGGAACAAAACGTGTCCCTATGATCATTAATCCCCACTCCCCAAACTTCCCATTATTAAGGCAAATTGTTCACACCATCCAACTTCAGGGACTCAAAGGGAGAAAACCTTCAAATTTTTGCACAAATATGCCCCAAAGGTCCGCTAGAGGAAGAGGGAACTACTGGAGGGAGGGTGGTTGTAAAGGAGGTCTACCACGGAAATTGATAATAGTCTTTGGGGGC